ATATAATAGTTCAACATCTTAACATTCAGACCATAGTGACGCTTCGTATTTAAAGTAATGTATTTAATAAAAAAATTACTTCCAGAAAAAACTGTTTTTGCGATTATAAACGTTTAAAAAACGAAGAGTAATGGAAAAAATGAACAACGTAGTTGCTTTCAGCGCAAAATCCTATGGAAACATCTTTCAAAGTTCAAAACACAAGACTCCATAAATTTTGTTAGCCTATATAATTATTATAAAGTTTTCATAATGTTGTTAACTTTATTATTAACTAGTTTTACCTTATCCTTTATCTTTATAATTAACTAGTTTTAACTTTATTATTAATTAGTTTTATCTTATCCCTTAATGAATAATAACTAATAATTTTACTCGTGTCGCAGTATTTCGCAATTGTGACAGATTTCCTATCTCAATATTCTTATCATGTAAATCTTATCATGTAAACGTTTTTATAGTATCTGTTTAGTGTAAATGGGAATCATTCATGTTCGGCGTATTTTTTTAAATAGATTAAGTGGTTCAAAAAATATTTTAAAATTCATCTAGCTTTCTTACTACTATTCTAAATGAAGGATTACATAATTTAATAAATCTATTTATTTAAATATTTTATTTTTGCAAATATGTAAATACAAATGTGAGTAATGGTATGTTAAAAAATTTCTAACTTTTGATCAAATCAATGAAATCTAATAATTAAAAATGAAAAATAAAATTAAAAATTTATAATTTCATAAAAAAATATATGTCAACAAATTTTTTAAATTTAATTGCTTAAGTTCGGACATGAAATTTTATAATTTCGAAACTTATGAAAATAAGCGTTTGTATAAAAAATTAACATTTAACTTTAAAAAATCCATTTTTTAAAAATCTATAATTTTTTAAAAATCTATAATTTATTATATACTTTTATTTTTGTATACTTTTGTAAAAAATAAATATATTCGGAATGACATTGTAAGAGAACAAAGAAATCGTAACATCTTTTCTGCAGAACGATTTATTATTTTTATTCTAAGATAACATTGAATAAAAATTTTTTCGTTATATACATATATATGTGTTTTATTTATAAAAATAGTCAAAAAACAAAATTATTTTCTTATTTATACGACAAATATGCGGTGTATGTAAATGGGGATCATCTGTGTGCGGTCGATTTTGGATATCCATTTCTCTCGCTGCTCAGCGAGAAAATGACGTCTACTGCCGGAATTTCAGATACCTTTTCTCACAAATTTTTTCTAGGTCCAATGTCAAATATGTAATATTAAATGACACTTTAGAATAAAGAATATATATATGTATAAAATAGGACTTCTAATAATTGTAAAAATATAAGGGGGCTACTTTGGAGTTAGCGCGGTAAGAAGTGGAGTTAGTGCGCAATCTACGCTTATATAATCATTAATAGTACAATGTGTATTAAAAGATTCGGCTATCAGTTTTAGCCATCTTCAGCAAATATATAATTAATACATAATTAGGAGCAGAACGCGTATTCACTTGTTTCAAAACATTCATAACTTTAAAAATCGCCTGGACACAAATGACTCTCGTTTACACGGTCAGGATTAATATCTCAGTTTTCAAGGTAAAGTGAAAAACGCTTGTTTCTATCAGATTCTTTCGTTTCATGCAAAAACGCATCGATAAGCCTATTTTTATGGATTTTTGTTGTAACTAAATTGTATAATTATCTTTGATGCTTTTAAATATGCTTTTAAATATTCCCACAGCCTAATAATAATTATTATATCTATTATCCATTATCCTATAAATGCTCCTTGTAAAGGTTGATAATAATTAATAATATATGATTAACATAATATTCTTTAAGAAAAAAAAACATGAGTCCCTTGTACATAATTCATGATGGAGGAACCCAACCACCGAATGCTGTTTCAAGTTCTTTAGCCACCGCAAAGCATAGATGATCATTGTATGGAGCTGCAACCACCTTTAAAGAGAGTGAATTTTAAGAATTTTCAATATTTTTATAATAACTTGTACGAACAATTCTAAAAATAAAAAAGATATATATTTTCTTATAATATTTTTAATAAATCGAATCAACAAAAAATATATATTATTTGAAATCTAAAATCTTTGATTCATTAGTGTTCTATCATATTTATTTTCTTATAAATAAAGAATAAATTTTAAAGTAACATTTCATAAAAACCAAAATATAGTGATATATATATATAACATATAGTGATATATATAACATTATTTAATAATAATTATTGCCAAAAATAAGGAGAAGAAACAATCATTAATTATAAAATCAGTGATCGCTGGCAATTATATGCAAGACGCTTAAATAAGTCATAACGTGTATTTTAATAAATCACAATCAAAAGTTACTATATTTTCTGCCGTAAATTTATGCTTGTGTAATACTATAGGGTTGCCACAGAAAATGAATTTTGAAATTTTCTTTTTAAGATTTTCTAGGTTCAATGTCAAATATGTAATGTTAAATGACACTTTAGAATAAAGAATATATATATAAAATAGGACTTCTAATAATTATGTAAAAATATAAGGGGGCTACTTTGGAGTTAGAGGCATAAGAGGCGCGCAATCTACGCTTATATAATCATTAATAGTACAATGTGTATTAAAAGATTCGGCTATCAGTTTTAGTCATCTTCAGCAAATATATAATTAATATATAATTAATATATTAACAAAGAATATCTTCTGTTCAGTCGGAAAGTAAAAAAGCACAAACATCGTACAAAGAAGTTGCCTGTCTTCTTAGTTAACAAGTGAACGCAATCACTCACAATAGCTGAAACGTTCAAACAACATTTAATATACTATTAATGATTATATAAGTATAGATTGCGCATCTCTTACCGCGCTGATTCCAAAGTAGCTCCCTTAAATCTGTATTATGTAATGTTAAATTTTAACAATATTAAATGAAAATGGATCGAGAAATGTTTAATAGATGAGTGAAGAGGATCATGTTCGATCAAGGCGGTTAGTGTCTAATATATTAAAAGTTAAAAAATTATAATAAAAATTAATAAAATAAATAATATAAGAATTATAATTTA